ACAGAAAGTAGCTGCTGATCTCAAACAACTTTGGTAAAAAGTAATGCCTATGATCAGAAGAAGCATAAGTGCAAAACATAACAGCATAACGCTAGCAAATACTAACAACATTTAACTTAGGCTCCTAACAACCAAAAGTTCCCGCACACCTCAAGAGTACTGAGATGACCAAATTTATACACAGCTCCCAAGTCCCAACACACCTCAGGACTCAGGAATTATGAGATGACCTAGTTCATACATTAGATTTTTGTCCCCTCTACAAAACACATATTCTACACAACAGTATTTAAGAAGGCGTCTTCCAGGCTACACACGAGCATCCCTCTTAGCCAGAGTGTTTCTCATAATCATATTCTTCCATAATGTACTTTAACAATCAAGACGAATTTTTTGAGCTGCTGCTTTATCTGAAAAATACAGTAATACACAAACATAAGAAATCAATGCATCGTAAAGACCTCATTTGTGTACACCTTTAAAGAAGCTTATGTTTTTGTTACTATAAAGCCTCCTGCCATGACGGAAAAGAGACGTCACAGAGCTTTCAATCTGGTTGGGGATTTCACTTCTGAAAGACTATACATGATTAAACTGGAAAAAAAAAAAAAAAAAAAACAAACCTGATGACAGCATCATAGGTCCCAATGGAAAAAGGGGAAATCAAATTGCTAGCAAAAGTAATCTAAAGTGAACTGGATTCACTATCGATGATAATTCAACACAACACCTTCAAGGAAAACACATACATTATAATTTAGTGTAGCTTCCTGCCTTTAAAAGAAATCAACAACCACAGAGCTATAAACAATCCAGCTGAATGAAATAAGGATCAAGTCTTTGCATCAGAAGGGAAAAAAATCATACTGATGCAAAGTTGTAAACACCTACAATTAGCTTACATTAAGTTATTGAGTAGCTCCCACCAATAACGAGAAATGAGACAACACAGAATTTTGTACTGATGCTTTTTCCTGAAATATTGATTTTACATATAAAGCATAAGAAGTCAATGCATAAAAAGATGCCATTACGTCCAAGCTTTGGAGCACTTTATTTCTTTTGAATAAACACTCCACCAGTAAATTCACCAAAAAAACATACAGTATTAATTAAGATCGAGCTCATAAAAGGACCAACTCATACTCTTGGTTTTGGACTAAATGAAATCTAGAATTGACGGGTCACAATCAGAAACACATCAGTACTCACCATATAGCAAGATACATTAATGTTGAACCTTACACCAGTGAAGACTAAAATGCAAAAGCACCAGGGACAGTCAGAGCTGCTTAAGGATATTGATGCCAAAAAGTGAAGCAGCCAAGAATAATTTAAAACAAGCCAACTGATAAAGAGGAAAGCATGAAGTCTCTCAGCTAGAAAGGGGAAAAAAAATCATACAGATGCAAACATCTAGAACCAGTTTATCTAATGAGATTGCAGAGCTCCTTGCCATGATGAAAAATGAGACAAAACGGAGATTTAAATCAAGCCAAATGGTGTGAAGATTTAACTGGATTGCTGAGAGACAAAACATGATTTAACAAGAAAGAAACTATATACAGTTGAAAGTCAAGTCTCTGCACTAGAAGGAGAAATCATGTTACGGAGTATGAAAGAAATCCAAGCCAAAATCACTATTGTAAAACGACATAAGAGAAAGCGATGAAAATACCTTGAATCATATAAAGTTGCCAACTCAGCATAGTCCATCAGCTAAGCCCCTTTCCAAGATTAACGGTGCAGTGGAAATTAAGCTACCTGCCACAATCTCTTCCTGCTGAACCATTTGTTCCTCTAGTTCACGCCATTCTACAAGGTCTATCACTTGCTTTTGTGAATTACCAAAGCCCTTTCAACAAAGGGAACTAACCAATCTAATTTGAAATGCATCGTCTGGAGATCAACTAGGGATGAGTTCAGGTACTCAGCTTGTTGATCATTCAAGGACTCCCCTGTATTTTCTTGAAGAATAATTATCATCTTTGCAAGTGATTCAAAGGAAAATGTAAGAAGGCCATTACTGTGAACTACATGGCCTTCAATTACATTCCCATTCTTATCCCATATTTTTTGCATGATAAGCTGATAAACACAGAAATTGAACATGTAAGTTACTTGTTGACTAACGAACATACCTTTAAACTTATAAGTACACCCACATCAATCAACTTTGGACTTGAAAATTGGTATTACCAAGTCCAAGCTGACATCTGTTTCTAGGAAATTAATCTCTAAAACACTTTTTTTTTTTTTTTTTTTATAGAAATGATGCATAGATTAAGCGTTAATTACATCAGAAGGAGTATTATCTGGGACATCACCAGCAAAATTAGAGTTATGGTTTACAGACCCCAAGTTACAGTCTTTTGCAAAAACTTCGCTACAACCAGGAGGTGGGTGATACAAAATACATAATTGGTTACTGACCTCCAAGTTACATCTAGCATCCTTAGCTACTAAATCCGCTACTGCATTAGAGGTTCTTTCTTCAAAGTGCAATTCCAGATGGTGAAGCTCCCTTAGCAGGTCCCTGCAATTATAGAGGAAAATTGGATAACTTTAAGTATTTTTAACACAACTTTACTTCGTTTTACAATAAATTAACGTACACTCGTCTTTTTAGAGAATTTGTGTACTCTCTATATATACTAGCTTTTTTTTTTCTCACATTATTCAAATTAATTTAAGTCCCGTGTCACTAGGTGACAATAATCGCGAGCATGGCAAGCTAGCTTCCCATGGAATTGGTATGTAATATCCTTTTGAGGCTACCAATTGAAGATCTTCTCTGTTTTATGTGTGTATGCAAGTGTTGGCGCAATGCAATCAAAGGCCTTAATTTCGTTAACTCTCACATTCGCTTCATAAAAAATAAGTAAATAACGAGGCAAATACTAGTACAAGCTCCCTCATTGTAGTCTTTTCTCGATATATGAATTGATTTTCATTCTCCTGAGCATACTAAGGTCAGGCCTATGATTCCTAATATCCCTCTCGTCGCACCCTTCCTCGTTGGTTCTTGCATTGGCTTGCTCTGCTTCATACATTCGGATAACTTTAGCCGAACTAGATGTTTTTCTCTTTACAACCCGATAACTGGAGCCTCCAAGCTTGTTGAATTGACTACCTTAATATTTTGATGATTGACATACATAAAATAAACTCTGACTAATGATGTGGGTAAGTCTTGGTTGAACAGAAGATTCGGGTACAAAGCTACATGTTCCGGAGTGGGAACAAAAGAGTTTGGAAGTCTTGACGTGATACGCAAGCTTTCAAGATATACTTACAAGCTCCAATACTTAGAATATTTCTGTAAGCACTTGAGGATTCAAAAGAGTTGGAAGGAACACATAAGAAACTCGAAGTTCCAGAAGGAACTTAACGTTTGAATCAGGAAAAGAATTTAACGTAAGATTTAAAACAGTTTTGAATTCCTTGAAATAAGGAAAGAGTAAAAATCAGTTTGAAAAGATATGTTTTTGAAATAAATAAAAGTTAAATAATTCTTTAATTTAAAAGATAAGTTTATTATTTTTAAATTAATTAATTATTTAAATGTTTTATCTTTTTAACATCTTTTTGATTATTCTTTCTTAAATAAATATTTATCTTTTAATAAATATTCTTCTAATTGATTTTGACTTAGTAAAAATCCAGTTTGCTTATTTTAAGGAATCACGTTGAACTTGGGAGACAAGTCAGTGAAGCATGTTTCTCCACTCCCTCAACGTACATCCTAACTCTCCTGTTAAGGTGAACGTGGGATTGAGGGGGAAGTGGGAACATGGTTGAGGCTTAACTAACCTCTCTATAAAAAGCATTCAACGTTGCTGTTTTAAGGTGTGGAAAAACAATTAGAGTTTTCTGAGCGTTAAAGTTTTTTAAGTGTTTTGAAACCAGAGTTCCTTCCATCCTTGAGTTTCTTGAGTGCATTAGGGAAAATTTTGTAATTACTTTGTAATTGGGATTGGGGTTGTGAGAGTTGTAAGTGTGAAGCTTGAGAGAGTTCTTCACATTGTACAAGTGATTCAGAGTCGAATCACAAAGAGAGTAAAACTGCGATTGAGGGATCGTAGTTCGGAAACTTGAGTTCCTCACGGAACTTAGGTCTAGGCAGATTATTTAAGTTTGTAATTCATCTTTACATAGTGAAATAATTCATTGCCTATCTCGAGTGTCTTCTCTCTAAGTAGTTAGTTTAATTCCGCAAAATTTTTAAACTCCCCTTTTGTAGTAGACGTTGTTCTAACAAAGCTCATACCTAAGTTGGAACGTCTAGACCAGCATGTAAGGAATGGTTTTGGTTATGATTGTACGAGTGGAGATTATAAGATTTTGTTTTTGGCAAAAAAAGAAAATGGTAAGATCTATACTTGTGTATACAGATTGAAGAGCAATTCATGGAATGTAAACATGGAGGAACCTTGTCCATATCAATGCAACAATATAATTGGGCCATCATCTATGGTTCTTTATAATAATGCACTGCATTTCGTAACTTTTTTGAAAAAAATAATTGGCTTTGAACTTGGTAGCAAAAAGTTTCATGTAAGTACCACTGCCTAGTGATCCACTGGTTGTTCGTTATCAACTAATCGAGTTGGCTAATTTAAGGGGATGCTTGCATTTGGTAAGATTAACGGAGATATGGATTATGAAGTTATATGGCGTACAAGAATCTTGGACTAAGTTGTTTTATTTCTCAGATGCAAATGAAAATGGATTATTTGATCGTAAAATTTTGGGGCAAAGAAGGATAATGCCTTATGCTTATTCAGAGGACGGAAGGGAAATTCTAGTAGCTTTAGATATACGTGATAACAAGATTCTTCGTTTGGATCAAAAAGTCAAGAGTTCCAGAAGCTCGAATTTTCTAGTTTACCCGAAGATTGGACAGATTGGGCACGTTTTGGTTATGCCATGCCATGGGTTGGTTCCTTTGTTCATCCTTCATAATACTTTTCTTTAATAATAAGGTTGTTTGTTTTGCCTTTTTTATTTTATTATTAGTAGTAGTCACATAACTCTCTATTCCAAATTATAATTTGCATAAAATGTCCTTATTTTCTTCATATTTTAGTGGTTTTTAAATATATTTATATAAATTATTTTCCTCTCAATACCAACTCAACAAAAAACCTGTTGTCATAGAAAAAAAAAAGCTCAACATATTAAAAACATCTAAGACAGCCAGAAGATTCAGAACAGAAACAACAACCATGTTCATACAAGCAAGTAGCATACGAATAGTGTAATATATTGATTGCAACCTCCATGCCAACACGAGAATGAGACATAACAGAGCTTTAAAAATCCAACTGATATGAAGATGTAAAAGTTAGTGAAAGCCATTCAGAATTAAAAAGAGGCCAAAGGCATGTTGACACCAAAACAAATCAAAATTGAGTCGAATACAGTCAATACACACCCTCAAAGGAGAGGAAGAAATAAAAGATAAAAACAAAAAACATACCATGATTCAGATACTCAACATAATCCTTCAGCCAAGCCCTTCTCCAAGACTGATGGTGCACAGTTCGTCAGGCTCTCAGCCATAAGCTTTTCTTGCTGAACCATTTGTTCTTCTAGTTCACGCATTTTTGCGAGAAGCTTTGACTTTCTTGTCTCAAGGTTGATCATAATAGCTTTCTCGCACTTGCTTTTGTGAACTGCCAAAGCCCTTTCAACAAAAGGAACTAGCCAGTCTAATCTGAATTGCACCATTTGAAGATCAGCTAAGGTGGAGTTCAGGTACGCAACTTGGGTGTTGTTCAAGGAATCCCCTGTATTATTTTGAAGGATAATTATTATATTTGCAAGCGACTCCAAGGCCCATGTCAGAAGGCTGTTACTCTGAACTATATGCCCTTCGATTATGTTCCCATACTTATCGCATATTTTCTGCAAAACTGGGACTAAATCAGAGCTGACATCTATCCCTTGGAATTTCTCCAGTGAAGCACAATCATGAGCTATCTACATTCCTTAGATTAGGAATGAAAAACAGCAAAATTTCAAAAGCCTCCTCTATGAGTTTAATACTTAATTGGATAAGTCAGTAACCTTCTACATCATCTACATGAGTGTCCTTTTGGTTTGAGGTTGAAGGTGGATTCTCAGCACCTTGTCCATCATCCCCGTGTTTTATAAAAGCAGAGGAATGATCTTTTGAGCTGGATTCTGAACCATTATTATTAGCAGAATCTATATCTTCATCTTCCTCAGAAAAATCCGAGCTGTCAGAAATTAGTAAGCATACTCACTTCAGAAGCCATTAATTATATTACATCTTATGCATTGTTGAAGCTCTAACCATAACAGATGTTTGTCATAAATTAGGAATTCTAATTCAAAATAAATAGATATTAATATATATATATATATATATATATATATATATATATATATATATATATATATATATATATATACATAGCTCAGCCATCGTATACAATCTGAAAAGAAAATCGTTTAATCACAATGTACGTAGTATTTCCGTATACATATGCCCTTACGCGATGAGCCAAGTTCCAGACAAGATGAAAGTAGCTATGTGAAGTAGTCAGTATACAGCAGTACATGAGTACAAATATGCAGTTAATATCAGTATGTAATTGTTGTAATTCACTTGAGTTTGACACTTTCACACCCATAAAACTAATGTTAGAATAGTAGTGTATCTGGAGCAATATCATCTTGTCACAACTCCTTAACTACCCATCATATGACTAATAAGCAATTGAGAAAACAATCATGCATTATGCATCATCTAATTAAACCAAAGCTTTTTGAGATGAGAGATAACCAGATTTTACCTTGTCGACTTCCATATATCCGGGTTGAGCCCGACAGGAGGCAGCCAAAATATATCACATTCTTCATCAGACGACACCAGCTTAGAATTATCTCTATCCATATAAAACACAGCTACTACCAGATAATTTTCTAAGGGAGGTTGAAACAATTCATCATCAACAGAAGTATCTCCAAATTGAGTTGGAAAACAATTCTTAGGAAAAAATATGCAATTCCCTTTAATTCCAGAAAGATCACAAGCTTTGACAAAGAAACACTTATCATAACTCACAAACAATACCTTTTCCCCCAAATCATAAATTCTTTCCCACTTTTGCAACTCTTCATTCATCTTAAAAACCCAAAACTTGTAAATTCTTCTAACAATCAAGTACACTTCCCCATCATAAACCACCAAAAGCTTGCGCTTATCTCCAGCATCACTCTTCGAAAGCGATTTGCTTAATTCTTTAATCACCATTCCATTAACACCACTAATGAGCAAAGCTTGCCCTCCATGATTAACAGCACAAATATTACCCTTGTAATTCACGATATCGTCGAGCTTAAACTCGGGACCCATTTCCGCAAACCTCCATTCCCCATTAAACTTCAAAAACCCCAGTATCCCCCCTTGATCAAGCGACAAAATAGCCACTAAATCAGTCCCAAAAATAGGGTTTTCGTCTTTATTGGACAATTTCTGCAAAAATCACTCACTTGAGAAGAAAACACATCTTCATCGCCATTTGCGAGACACAATTTTAACCCAAAATTAAAATCAAGCGGCCAAAAATCAATCAAATTTAGGGATTTGGGAAAATAATAACTGTTTAAATCGAACTTTATACCAGTTACAGGATGACGAATTCTGAGCTTACCAGGGTTCAATTCTTCAACTGTAACTAACCAGGGTGGATCAATGCCGGAATAGTAATTTTCTTCACTAGGATAAAGAAGATAGGTCGTTGTTGAAATTATGTGTACAGAACGACCTAATTGCGTCGGTAATTTGCGTGGAAAAATTGAAAAAAGAAAATGAGTTGAAGGAGGAGAAGATTTACGCCATTTTCTGCAAACTCCTCGGAATCTCCGGTGATCGGAACCGTAGAATCTTAGGTAATCGGCGATTATTCCGACGGCTTCTTCCGGTAATTCTGACCAGTCTACAGTCCGACGCTGCTTTTTGACCTCCCGGTTTTCCATTTCCGGCGCTTCTCTCTCTGATTTTGGTTTTGTTTTCGTCAATAACAAAGTAGACATTACATAGCTTAGAACATTTTTGGCGCCATTATTGGGTTCTTAGTTTCTTATTTGGCGCCATTTCAACCTGTATGGGTTTGGTACTTGGGTGTAGAGGTGTCACCACATCCAATCCAACCCAATACAAAACCAAATAAAAAAATATTTGATTTAAATTCAACTCGCATTGATACAATAAATTAGCATTATTCAAGTTTTAAAATAGATTCAACCCGATGCGAATGGTTCTGTTTACCTTAGTGCCAAGTTGCCAACTCAAAAGTTATCTTGAATTGTGTTTTATAAAAATATATTCCCTTTGTTTTTTTATAAGCTATAATTATTATTTTTGTTCGTTTTTTTAGGATTTTTTAACATAAACAGACAAATCTTTGGCCGATTCTCGCATATTGAACTAACCTTTAAATCTGCCCATATTAGACACAAGTTTAACATTTTTCTCCCAAAATAAACCCAAATAACCGGTGATCTGTACAACTGGTCATTTTTCTTTAATTATCTTTTTTTTTTTAATTAAAAATCTTTGATTTTCTTTTTTAAATTAACAAAATAATTAAAAAAAAAAAAAAAAAAAAAACATATCACTCTCCTCTCACCCCATTGCCAGCCACCCCCTTCTCCACCTCTCCTCCCTTTTCGACCATCCCCTCACTCATTCCTCCATCACCTTCCTCCCTCTCGTCTGCCATGGATGAACCAACTCAAGCTTCTCCTCTCCTCTCCAATTTTTTTTTAATTTTTTTAATTTCAATGGCAGCCTCTCACCCCTCAATCTCCCCTGCTCCCTCAATCCCCAACACAACCCTCAATCAACCACCAATTAAACCACCCACACAACTCCCTACTCAGCCCCAAACACCAACAACAACAGTATCAGCCCCCTTCTACTTCCCTAACCGTCAGTCACCCCTCTCCTTCCCCAACCACCAGCCCACCGCCCCTTCTCTAACACCCACCCCCAAACATCCCTCCCTTCCCCAACCACAAAACCGCCCACCTTACCTAACCCCCCCTCCACCGCTGAAAATCGCCCCTCATCCCCCATTTCAATGGTGTTTCGGGGTGGGGGAAGGCTAGGGTGAGGTGTTTCCAGGGTAGAGGAAGGCTAGGGTGGGGCATTTCAGGGTGGAGGAAGGATGGGTTAGGCGTTTCAGGGTTGGGCCAGGGTAGGCTAAGTCATGCGTTTAAGGGGCTAGTGGAAGGTTGGGGTAGGTCGTTTTTGGGTAGGGGAGGGCTAGGTAGTGCGCTTTGGGGTGGGGTAGGTTGGTTCGAGCGTATTTCGAGGATGGGGCGTTTTGGGGTGGGGGAAGTTTTGGGTGGGTAGGCTGGGATGCGGTGTTTTAGGGGTGGGGGTGGCTGGTTGTGGGCGGGGTGACTGGTCGTAGGTGAGGGTAGCTGGTTCTAGGGGAGGATATGGTAGTGGAGGGGGTGGCAGCTTGGTCGAAATTAATGGAGGGAGGAAGGAAAGGGAAAGGGAAATTTAAAAAAAAAAAACCAACTTGACCAATGATAAAATGACAAGTGGCTTTTTACCTGATATAACAGGTAGGGTGACCTGCTTGGTCCAATTTGGGAGAAAAAATGCAAACTTCTGTCCAATATGGGCAGATTTGTAGGTTTGTCCAATATGGGAGAATCGGCCAAAGGTTTGTCAGTTTACGTTAAAAAATCTTTTTTTTTTTTTTTTTTATATAAACTACAGTTTCATTTTTGAAAAGCTCTTACAATTTATTAATATATTTTTATCCACTCTTTTTTACTTTATATCATTTCTTACTCCTCCAATGGTCCCCACCCCTCTCACATCACTTTACTTTTCAATAAAATAATAACTTTATCTATTCCACTAATATCTTATTTTATTAAAACACCTAAAACTCCGCGCAATCTCATCGAACTACGTTTTTAGAATAAAATCTTATTTTATCTATACAATAATTTAGTAGAGTCAATTTTATACTAACTTTTATCCTGTCAATTTATAACTAATATAATTGTCAAAAGCTATCAATTTCTAGCATATAGTCTAATCACTCTCATATCTTACAACTTCACTCAACAATTCAATAATTATCCTAATTTTATTTGGAAAGATAAATTATTAACATCCTACTAATAAAAGGCAATGATAATTGATACATACAGTTTAATATACCCGGATCTGCTCTAGTTGGAACAAAAAAATATCTTCAATTTTTCTAATAGCATCGTACGTAGTTTGTCATGATTCACTTTATTTTGTGTTTGTTTCCTAACATATCTCTAATAGGGTTCATTAATTTAGTAATATAATCTATCATATCAAATCTAGTTTCCTAGGTAAGTTAGGTTTTTGTTTTAGGGGTAGTAGTATTTATTGTATCTGCTGCACAAGATTATTCAACCAAGTCGGGTAAATTAACAAATTTTTGCCCGTTGTTAACATGAAGAAATCCGAAAGAAGTTCAATCAACCGTAAACGACCACTTTCCATACAAAATGAATCAAAACAACGCTCAGCGGCAAAAGTAAGGTCAACTTTTCTCCACCAACCATTCACAATAACCCCAATGCCAAAATCTCTAAGGAATAAGCAAAATATTCTAAGTACAATAAGCGACAGTAATCGCGAGCATGGAACGCTTCCAATGGAGTTGGTATGCAATATCCTTTCGTGGCTACCAATTGAAGATCTTCTCCGTTTTAAGAGTGTATGCAAGCGTTGGCGCGATGAAATTAACAGCCCTTATTTCATCAACTCTCACATTCGCCGCATAAAAAATAGCAATACAAGCTCCCTCGTCATAGTCTTTTCTCCCAAGTATAATATTCTTATGTCGATTGATTTTCACTATCCTGAGAATACTAAGGTCAGGCCTATAACTCCTAATATCCCTCTTGACAGACGACCCTTCCTCATCGGTTCTTGCATTGGTCTTCTTTGCTTTACACATTTGGAGTATTCTATGTCAAAAGAAAGCCGAAGTAGGCGTTTTTCTCTTTACAACCCGATCACTGGCGCCTCCAAGCTCATACCTAAGTTGGAATCTCTAAACCCGAATTTAAGGAATGGTTTTGGTTATGATTGTATGAGCGGAGATTATAAGATTTTGTGTCTGGCAACAGACCAAGAAGATTTTATGACGACCTATACTTGTGTCTACAGTTTGAAGAGCAATTCATGGAATGTAAACATGGACGAACCTTGTCCATATTTATGTGGCAATATACCATGGTCATCATATATGGTTTTTTCTAATAATGCACTGCATTTCATAGCTTCGGAAAAGTTAATTGCGTTTGATCTTGCAAGCGAAAGATTTCATGAGATACCACTGCCTAGTGATCAAGTGATTTCTTATATTCAACAATTCGAGTTGGCTAATTTAGGGGGATGCTTGCATTTGGTTACATTAACGGATATATGGATTATGAAGGAATATGGTGTACAACAATCCTGGACTAAATTGTTTTGCTTCTCACAAGCGAATGAATGTGCCTTATTTGATCGTACGATTTTGGGGCAAAGAAGGTTAACGCCTTATGCTTATTCAAAGGACGGAAGGGAAATTCTAGTAGCTTTATCCACTCATCATCACATGTTATTTCGTTTAGATATACAAAGTCGAGAGTCCAAGAAGATCCAAAATTCTAGTTTACCCAAAAATTGGGAAAATTGGGCATATTCTGGTGATGCCATGCCATGGGTTGGTTCCTTAACTTCCTTTGTTTATCCCTCATTTTGAAGTGCTTAAAATTATACTTCTCTTTCACAATAGATGGAATTGTTTTGACTTTTTCATTCATCAAAAAACAACTTTTACCCCCTTTTTTTTTTATATACAGTATATTTTTTGTACTTCGTATACTTCAATTAGTGAAAAAGAACACTAAAAAAATATGTGTAGATTATTTTGTTTAAGAATGTAGAAATCTTATAACTCTCTGTTCTAAATTATGATTTGCCTGCCTCAAGTGTCGTTCTCTTCAAATTTCAATTGTTTATATATATATATAAATTACCTTCCCCGGACAAACAAATTAAAATCAACCCTATAAATTTAAAAACACTAAAGATAACCAGAAGATTCAGAACAAAACAGCCAAAGAAACAGTGTTGATGAAGCAGCTACAGAGCACAAATAGAGTAATTTATCGATCGCAAACTCCCAGCCAAGACGAGAATGAGATAAACAGTCAGTAAAAGCGATTAAAAAGAATTTAAAAGAGCCAAAAGATAAAATAGTGTAATGTATTTGTACTGTGTTTGGAAAGGAAATCATATTGACACCAAAAGGAATAGGAATTGAGTTGAATACAATTCCCACTGAATAGGAGAGGATGAAATGAAAGATAAAAAAACATACCATGATTCAGATAATGTTGATTACTCAAATAATCCTTCAGCTAAGCCCTTCTCCAAGACTGATGGTGCACAGTTTATTATCAGGGCTCTCAGCCATAAGCTTTTCTTGCTGAATCATTTGTTCTTCTAGTTTAAGTACTTCTGCAATGATAATAGCTTTCTGGCACTTGCTTTTGTGAACTGCCAAAGCCCTTTCAACAAAAGGAACTAGCCAGTCTAATCTGATTTTCATCATTTGAAGATCGGCTAAGGTGAAGTTCAGGTATTCAGCTTGGGAGTTATTTAAGGAATTCCCTGTATTTTTTTCAAGGACGATTATCATCTTTCCAAGCGACTCTAAGGCCCATGTCAAAAGGACATTGCTATGAACTATATGTCCTTCAATTATGTTCCCATGATTATTCTATATTTTCAGTAAAACTGGGACCAAATTGGAGCTGACATCAACCCCTTGGAATTTCTCCTAAGTTACCAGCACAAAAAAGAGTTCCTGATCTAGATGCCTAACTATTTACTGATTCTTGTTCCCAAAAAATAAAATTAAAAAAATAATAAATTACTGACTCAGTAAGGGTTAAAATAATACTGCTAGAAGGATATCAATACTTAATTAAAGAAGGGGTAGGCAGAAGTGAATCCACCCAACTTCATTCAGACCCGAAATGTGTGGAGCCAAGTTTAAGCTGACATCAGTTCTTTGGGAATTCTCCTCTATAGCACCACTTTTGGAAATCTGCATGAGAAGATAAACACTTTAAATTAGTTACCTACAAACACTTGTAGGAGAGATCGCCGGGGTTTTCAAATATACCTGACAAGGAGTGTTTATAGCCGGAGCTGTTTTATCATTATTTGCACATGAGGCCTCTGTCACAAAATCCAAGTATTCAGTATGAACAAAAGTAATGTCCTTCCCAGATACTAGGAAAGGGGTGCAAAATAGATGTTCTACTGCAGAGCTATATATTTGAATGCACAAGTCTATAACCTTTTAGAGCTGTGTCCATTTGGCATAATGATGTAGAAAGATCCTCAACACCTTGATGTTCATTCTTCCCATGCTGTGAAAAGGCGGAGATACTTTGTTCCACTGAGCTGGACTTCGAGCTTATATGATCACATGAATCTATCTCTTCCTCTTCCATACAAAACTACTCAAAATGCCAGGAAAGAATTAGCATTCTTGCAAAGCGATTGAATTATCAGCTAAAGCTACAGTTGCAGGCTTAGATAAAATAATTATGCCAAATTAAAGGAAACCATCATACTATCAGAAAGCAAAACTCTTCAAACACAATGACTCTTCCACATCTATTATGACTATAAGCCTAAATACAAGTACCAAACAAGCTCCAGAAAAAAAAAAAAGTAAATGATATATAGAAACAATAATCACAAGATATACTATGTTGACAAGATCAATAACAGGTATGAAATTGTTGCTGTTCACTTGTGCTGAAGACTTTCAGACCCATATACAAATAATACAATATAGCTCATTATATTCTTGGCACAACTTCTAAACTATCAATCATGAAACAAATAACAATTAATCAAACATTTGTGCATCCAGTAGTTATACCATGTACTACACTATAAAAAATACCAAAACCTTACCACGTCGAGGAGCAGGAACCGGACAAGATCCATAATGGGGGTGGCCAAAACAACTCCAACAAGTCCGGGTAAGATGAAACTAGCCGACAAGAATCATCACCCAGATTATATACACCGATCTCTTGATGCTTCCTTGCTCCTCAAAATAACTCATCGTCATTAGAGTAATCACCAACACGAGTTGGAAAACAATTCTTAGGAAACAGTATGCAATTTTCTTTATATCCAGGAAGATAACAAGTATCAATAAAGAAAACCTAAACATAAGTCACAAACAATATCTTATCTCCCAAAACAAAAACACTCTCCCACTCATGCAACTCTTCATTCAACTTAAAAACCCGAAACTTGCAATTAGACCCTCTAACAATCAAATACAACTCCCCATCACATACAGCCAATCGCCTGCGCCTTTGATTGAATTCAGTTATGGAAAGGTCAGAAGGAAATTTACATAGCTTTTGACCGAAACTACCAGGGCAACCCTTTCCTTGAAAATCATTGATTAGCCAAGTTATCCCTGCCGTGCTTATAGCACAAACACCACCCTTGAATTTGACAATATCGTCGAAAAGACAATCGGGGCAAAATTCCATCAACTTCCACTCCTCATTGAGCTTAACAATACCCAGTGCCCCTCTTAGATAAAGCAACAGTATCACAACCACCCCACTAAAATTCAGAAGAACAGAATTCGTCTTAATCGGATAATTTTCCCAGTATTTTAAACGACTATTTTTAGAAGAAAATACATCTTCAACGCTTTTGGTGAAGCGCAAATTAACCCTAAAATCAACAATTCGCAACCCAAAATCAAGAAAATTCAGGGATTTGGGGAAATTACTGTTGACATTGATGATACTAGTTATAGGATGACGAATTTTCAGCTTATCAAATTCTTCAATTGATACAACCCAAGGTTTAATCTTTTCGGAGAGGGGATTATAAAGAATATATACAACACTTGAAATCAAAAAATTGGGCCCACCTGAAACCGACGGAATTTCGAGAGGAAAATCAGAAATGAGGAATTGGGTTGAAGGAGAGGAAGAATTACGCCATTTTCTGCAAACTGCTCGGAATCTCCGGTGATCAGAACCGTGGAATTTAAGGTGGCCGGCGATTTTTCCGATGAGTTCTTCAGGAGATTCGACCAGTCTGATTTTCTCCACCGTAATCTTGGCGTTTTCCGGGGCATTTCCGGCGAGTCTGTATTTGTCGAATTTAGCTAGGGTTTGTGGATTTTGTGTTTCTGAAAGTAATTAAACGTTTAAGATGTTTGGCGCCAAACCTGTATTTATTGGGTTGATTTTAATATGTTTGTTCGTACGGGGGAAAGTACTGTGTGAATTGTGAACTACGGAGTACTAATTTTAAGTTGACAAGTATTTTTGTAAATCTAATATATATATAAATAAAGCAGGCATTTTTGGAAAGCATTTGGAGCGTCACGTAAAAAATATACTTATTTCGACCAATAAGAAGAAAGATTTGTATTTTATTTTTAAATTAAAAAATTATGTCGCCACATAGATAAAAGTAACGATATAGATTTGATATATCTAGCATTCGAAGCGCCACGTAAGAAATATACTTATTTCGACCAATAAGAAGAAAAATTTGTATTTTATTTTTGAATCAAAAAATTATGTCGCCACCTAGATAAAAGTAACGAATTAGATTTGATATATCTAAAATTTTAGTGCCAGGTAGATTAAAAACCAAGAATAAAATTATTTCATAAATTAATGGTAAAAAATGTAGGAAAAGAGAAATTTATTAAATCATATAACTATGAGTATAACAAATACAAAAAAAATATATAAAAAGATAAAGCTCAAAAAAGATTTTATTAATTAATTAAAATCATATCAGAAATAATATTATATTTAAATGATAAACGACTATAATAAAGTTTGATACCAATAGTGTTTATATAATAAAGTAAAATTTATTTCTTAATTTTAATGAAATTAAAATTTGTGATACGTACCATTATAAATTGACGCATCATATGTTACCAACAAAACTTCGTGTCAAATTACGAAATTAAATGTTAGCTTAATTTTGTGTTAGTAGTTTTGTGTCAGTTTTAGGTAATCAATGACTGAATAATTCTTAGCTTAATTTTTAAAATCCATGTTTAAATTTATATTTGTAACTATTGCTTACATTGTGTTTATTTGGGATAGTTAACGATTATATATTATGTTTTGTTTACTGAATTTCTCCCTCGCCTGTTTGACATACTTACCTTTCGCAAACAAGATAGCTTAATAATTTTGGATATGGTCCTATCAAACGATGAGGTATTATATCTTTATAAATTGTTTACATTTATTAAAATTACCTTTTTAGGTTTTATTAATGAATTTTATGATTAAAACAAAATTTTTGTGATTGAGGTAGCTTAATCAAGTCTTCAATTAAATTAATTCCTCGACTAAAGCCAACTCTGTTCAACACTTTCGTCCAAAATTTATTGAACGAAAAGTTTACTCCATAAAAAAACTTTCAATGCATAGATTTGATTTTGTAAAATTACAATTTTTAGATCATCAATTCGCAACAATTTTTCACTTTTGGGTAAATATATTGATTTATTTTATAAAATTGTAGAGATTAATTTTATATCAAATTTATTTTTGCTAAATTTCTGTGCTCAATTTATCCACTTTTATTAGATGGAGTAGATATGGTTGTGAATGAAATTAGTGATTCATTCGAAATAGAAGATAAATAATGGAATACATATTTTTATTA